ACATCAAAGTTAAAGCCCAAAGCTAAGTGGTAAAACCATAGTTTCATAGCTTGATGAACAACAATAAAAACTGTCGAATTGTGTCCTTCACAGCTTGTCTCACCTCTCTTATCTTCCAACAATAAAGAATTGGGTTTAATGACGAGTTTAGGTAAATTAAAGTAGCTGCATATTGGCTAGCGACAAACGAAGATGAAGATATTTGACTCTTTGAGTAAAGAATACTAACAATGCCATACGGTAAATAACACGCAACTAGAGTCAGCTGCACCCATATTGCACTGGATACCGCTTTCTTGTATCGCAAAATGTTCAGAGGAATTGCATTTCGTTGTTGCTCTTGAGGAACATGGCCTTGTATTTGTGTTTGCTGATGACGAAGGCAAAAGAAGATCTTTGTGTAAGAGACTATTGACGCTGTGAGGCATAGTAAGATAACAATGGTTTTGAGCCATGTGAATATCAGTCTATTCCAAAACCACGATGTTGCATAGAAAATGGAGACAACCCAGAAGGTAATTACAACTAGATATGTTCGCTTTAAAGCTACAACTTGTCTGTATCTCAGACCCAATGAAAGGGCAAGGAGTCTGTCCACGCTTACTGCGGTCACCGACAACAGGGACACTCCACACAAAACAGAGCCTGCTATAAACGTTGCGTCTGATGAGTAGCGGCAAACATTCCATCGTTTATTCATCATAGACATCCAGGCGGAGACGTCGAGAGGCTCCGTAACAAGACCAACACAGAGATCAGTCGTCGCAAGGCTACGAAACAAGAGTTTGGTTGGCGGATGAAGGGACGACTCTCCACGAAGAGCAGTTAGGATCAGAGTATTCCCTAGAAATGCAGTAAGGGACAGAAAAATGTTTGAAGCTGAGAGAAATATCAAATGACCGTGTATTCGAGAACTGTTAGTTGGCGAACACTCAGCAAAGTTTTCTGTTGCGACGGTCGCCATCACGTAGCCGTAAAACTATCTGAAGCTACTTTCACAGCTGTCTGAACTTTGAAACAGCATATTCTCTACAAAACGTTTCTGCACCGAACTGAAATAGCGGCTTCTGCGACCACCTAATTTTATGCCTCCCGTAATATCTTTTTCTCATATTTGGAAACCTGCTGAATAATAGGAAAATATGAACTAGCCCAGCAGGTGATTTTGATCATATTTACGTGCTTTCAACTTCCCTTTCCTGTTGCCCCGGGTGACAAACAAGTCGGCGTAATTTACGTTCAATTCCTCATCGGCCGTATATACATGCGCATATAATGATGGTGAGATGAAAAGCCATAATTTCTGAAGAATCTAATGTAATTCACAGCTTGAAACAGTTAGAGATTCTTAATTAAGGAACTTCTTCCTGTCTTGCCTAAATATCTAGACATCTTGCTTTCATATTTCTTTGGACTCGAAAGGAAATATTAGGAAAACTACTCTAGAAATTAATCTCTTTTATCTATTTGCGGAATTTAATATTTAAAGTTAATATTTCTTCTCCAGTTCTGAAATGTTTAGGAGACGCCATGGATATCTACTAGTTGTTTTGATGATGTGCATGTGTGTAATTCCCATAGGAGCTACCATATATATACCTCAATAACAGTTTTTTTGGAGTAAGCAGTGTTCGTGTTGTCGAACCTACGCAAGCTTTGCGACGCGGATCTAATTGGAAATGTAAACGTAACAAGAAACTGAATATTTGACGGGTTTCCGCCATTGTTTTGACCCATTTTTGAAATGTTCTGACGTAAGAGTAACTTCATATTTGCTTATATCATTAGATATCTAAATCCATTTTGGTGCGTTGGTTAGGTAAGCTGGTTGATCGAAATGTTTTCTAAATTTTTCTAAATAGTTGTTAAAAAAGTTATATTGCAGCAAGGAATAACATTTTGAAGTATTTAAAACTTTGAGTAAGATTCTTATCAGACGTAACCGGCGCCGGCAAACTGTTATAGAGGCTGAGGATACCTAAGCTTCGAGTCAAAATCCGAGCCAGGATCCGAGCCAGGATCCGAGCCAGGATTCAAGCCAGGATTCGGGCCAGGATTCGAGCCAGGATTCGAGCCAGGATTTGAACTAAGATTCGAGCAGGATTAGTTAGGATGAGCTTTCTACGACATGTCACGTGACCTGGTTTCCTTGTTTCCCTTTTGTCTCATCACAAGTCATGCAGAGTAACGCGTAGGATGTGTTATATTCTGAAGTGCTGTTTGTGCAAGTGTTTTGCCACATACATTACACAAATACTAAAATCTGAACATTTGAACGTTTGAACTTATATTCCAGACAGTTTGATAGCAAGCGCAGGGCTAAAAAAAAAAACCGTCCGCTTGTCTGGGACAAGTACATTTTACTCTCGGGCAAGTAACTTTGCCCCACGGACAAGAAACGGCCGGCAAACCATCCACCGACTCAATTTTTGATAACGATTTGTAAACAAGGATTAAAAAATGATTGACAGGCCTAGCACGACTCCCACTGTTTCGTGAT